CCTCCTTACCTGGACCCGCCGCATCTCCGTTGAAAGCTGCGTCGCAAGCTCGCAGTATTTCCTGGTTTCGGGCTTCGGATTGTTGCGGAACGCGGCTTCAAGAATGGCTTTATGGGCAGCGCTATACGAGGTTCGTTTCCTGCGTTGGACAACCTGAGCCGGGCCGGCTTCCGCCTCTCCCTCGGGTTGCAAAGCGTATCCGCCATCGCCACCATCTGCCTCTTCGTGCCCTTCGGCCGTGGTGCCCTCGTCCAAGTCATCATCATCCAGCAGCTGGCCGTTGTCGCCCAGCCCATATGCGGAATAGGGATGTCCGACGTAAGGAGCTGGCTCCGTAAAGTGTCCTGTTGGCCGGTCGCCGTTTTCCTCTACCTCCTCCTCCTCAGCCAAGGAAGGAGGGAAGTGTGGATGGGCCACGACGACTGAAGAATGTGTTGCCAGCTGGGGGTGGGCTGGGCTCCATGGCGGCGGAAGATCATCATCCTCCTCCTCCTCCTCCTCCACCACGGAGGCATGCGAGGGAGCAGTTCCGGCAGTCGATTCTTCTCCAGCTCCACCACCCCATGCGGCAACAAAAGAGCCAACGAGCAGAGGGTTGAGTGGATCTCCAGAGCTGAAAAGTCCTCTAGGCTGGGAATCGACTTGGCTTGCGGGTCCGGTAGGGTCATCATCACCGCAGGGACGGTCGACGCCGGCGCTGTTGCTTTGTCCCCCACCACCATCTTGCCTAGGTGGCGCAAGTATGTAGTTGCCGGGGAAGTGGCTTGGTCCGCCACCCTGCGCATCTCGCTCACCGTAGCTGCTGGCAATGGTTGACGTAGCCGCCTCCCCACTAGTTCTGGCCATTGACTCGAAAGGAATCGTAATTCCATGTTGGTTTAATCTCTGAAACATTACCGCTGCATCGGCTGCTTCTTGATCGGCCCCTCCGTTGCCGACCTGATGTTGGAGGAAAGTCTGCATGTGACTCTCAACCTCCTGGCCGACATGCGAGGTTGAAACATGGTCGACTGCATGAGGCGATTCGACACGGGCATTGTCATCTTCTTCCCACTCCCAATCGTCCTCATCTTCGTCCTTGTCCTCGAATGCAACGGGAGGCAGCGAATCCTGTGTGCGATTGTCAAGGACGCGGTCTCGCTGCTGGCGGGAGCTAGCGTCGGCCTTGCTGCTGCTGCTGCTGCTGCTGCTGCTGCTGCCGTGCTCCTGGCGCTTCCTGTGTCTTCCGGACGATGAAGACCTTGGCACCGTTGCTCTCTTCCGGCTAAACGCTGATGCTGGAACTGAAGCCCGAGGGGTGGGCGCGCCTGATCTGTCGTATCTGCCGGCATCGGTCGACAGGGTCGAGTTCTCGGACGAGCCAGGCTGCCACATGGGTATCTCGCGGCCCTGGACCATGTTTGGCTCTGCCCCGTAGTGAATTGTCAACCGCTCATCACCGCTGACGTACGAAACCGCCGCTGCGGTCTCGGGCTGGTCCATGGCTGGAACAACAGGTAGAAGCATTGCTCTTGCGAGGCAGTCTCCGGCCGACCACCGCTGCTCCGGCCGCAAGACCACCATTGCTTCCAGAAGAAATCTTCTCAGCTCATCGGGCCGTTCCTCCAAGTCCTCGTTGAACATCTTGATGAGCTCCTTGGCCCATGCCGTCCCGCTTGATATGTATTGGTTTTCGAACCGTGGAAGAGGGCAGAGAAATGTGTACACCGTGACACCAAGGGACCAAACGTCGACGGCCTCGGTATAGCTGACTCTGCCCTTGCCACCAGCCTCGATATATTGGTGGTTCTCGTACACCTCAGGTGCAAGGTTCCCCAAGTTGCCGCAGATGGTGGACATGTTGTCATAGTCCTTCGCCAGCCCGAAATCGGCAAACTTGACGTAGATGCTGTTTGTGTCCCGGTATTGGATCAGGATGTTGTCTGCTTTGATATCCCGGTGCACAATCGGCGGGTCGCTCCCGTGCAGGTACTCCAGAGCCGATAGACACTGCTGAAGAATTGATACACATTCGGCAGCTGAGATGTCTTTATTGGCCAAAGATCCGCCGGGAACGTATTCCAGGTACAGTCGTGGGCCCTGCGTAAAGTCGGACCTGTGAAGCTTTACGACGTGAGGCTGTAGGTGTATCTTGGGTTAGAGTAAAGAGTAGGATTTTGAGATCTTGACGGGGATGGCCATGTACTGACATGCTCAATGAGGTTCATGATGTGCGCCTCATTCCTCCAAGCGTCAATACGGACCCGGCGCGCGCGAACGGCTTCTGCAGAAGGCTTCTTGAGGGCGTACTCCTCTCCGGTGCTGACGTCCCAATAGCGGGTCACACTCGCGAACGACCCCTTCCCGAGCTGCTTACGGATATGGATTGGCCCCGTCTCCAGCTTGGGGGCTCCTGTAGGCCGCTTAGTATCTGTGCGGTTCGCAATGTTGAGGCCACTGAGCAGATCTTCAGTGGCTGCTGCGGTGCTCTGAAGGAACCGGTCGACTTTGTCGATGTAAGCCAGCGAGGCTACGTCGTGGGGGACGACGACGATCTGCAGCTGGACTAGGGGACGGGCAAGTGCGGCGACAACGATGGGCCGCTTCACGAAAGGAATCTCGTGCCCGCCGACGATCCATTGGAACCCGGATCGCGCCCCGTGTCCTTGACTGCCGTAGGTGACTTGGATACCGTTGAGAGAACCCCAATCTTTCACGATGGGTCGTTTCTCACCGTCGAAAGTCAGGGTAAAGTGGTGCCGCCCGACGCCCCGGCTTTTGGGCAGAATGACGTCGTTATTTTCGCCCCAGCCGAAAAGGAACCCAGAGCGAGACCGGTGAGTGTCGCTGAGCTTCAGCTCAACGTATGGGAGGGTGTCGAGCACCGGGCCGTTTTGGCTTTCGAGTGGCTCTGTTGACTCTCGCTCACGAGACTGCCGCTCGGGAAGCTGATCCAGTGGATCAAAACAGCCCCAGCTGGTCTTGAATGTCTTCAGGGTGACTGCCGGCACGTCTTCACGGCGCGTCTCTGTATAGGGGTACACACGAGCAATGAGATCCGTGTCTGCCATGGCCGAATTTGCGTGTTTGACGAGAAGAGCGGAAACAAGATACAAGCCTGACGAGAAGAGCGGAAACAAGATACAAGTCTGACGAGAAGAGCGGAAACAAGATGGCAGGTTAAACAAAAAGCACCTGGCACGGCTTGCTGCCCGACCAACCTCCACCTATAAACCGCCAGACAACACCAATCGCGACCATCTTGCGGCGCAGTACAACCATCACAACACACTAACAACAACCACGCGCTGGAACATTGGATGTATTGGTACAGCAATGTTAGTGCCATGTGCAGCCAACCTCTCTTCCTTCTTGGAGGGGCAACAGCGGCTATCCGCCCAATTTGATTGCTGATGTTCTGGACCCACTACTGGTCACATGCTCAGGCCCGGCAGGCTTGCCTTTCCTCTGCCTGTAAATTGGCTTCAACTTTCTGTCTTGAGCCTGCATCAATCGTCTCCTCCCTTGCCATCGACGACATAATGGCCAACACCCCCGAGCCGGGCGCGTCAAGGGTGTCTGTAAACGATATCACCTGGATGCGCCCTGTGGACCTGGCTGCGTATATCCGGAAACACCTTGGCCCCACTGACGACTTCGACCTTCTGGACCACCGTCGACACCAGCTTCCACTGTGCGAGCGTAACAAGGTCGCAGAAAGGCTCATGTAGGCTTCCCTTTCCCCTCTGCTGTCTGCAATCGTTTTTTGTTCGCTAATGGATCTTGGGTTTCTGAAGACATGCCCTGGCCGAAAACCGGTATTCCCGACCGCTTGATCTCGACGACCTCGACGCCCGCCTCCAAAAAGCATTATCCGGCGGCCCCAACGCCCTGCCACGAGTATCTCGACCACGACCACCTCGATCAGGCTCACCGACCCTAGGGGGAATAGAGCTCGCAGAATGTGGTCTACAGATAGGGAGAATGGAGGAGGCGGACGCATACGATCAACTCGTCAAGGATAGCGGCCGCCCGCTTTACCCAATCGAACTCCTCGACGACATCTCCGCGTCCTTTCCAAGGGGCCCAATCCGGGGCCCGATGGGCGACCTATACTACGGCACCGGAAACCCCGACAAGTACCAGGAGCTGTTGCGGCCCTGGCTAGACGACATTGCAACGGGCGGTTATTTTAGTTGGTGGTCGGGCGGAACGAGGATACATTACCCCTGGGGGGTATTCCAAAGGCAGTGGAAGAGATGGACCATGTTCCGCAGTTGGCAAAGGGACAATCGCGACTTGAAAGATGACGGCGGCGGATTTCCAGAATACCTTGAGGCGGAGAAGCGTCGTATAAAACGCGAGTACAGCGAACGTGTCGCAGCAGATGAGCTGGCCGAGCTCGAGGCCAACCCGTTACAGCTCAAACAGTACTGGGAGGGTGAGCAAAGGAGGCGCAAGTGGCAGCGACACTACTGCTATGAATCGGGCGTCAAGGAATTTTCCGATTACGTCGACGCGGTCAAACGCCGCCTGGCCCGACACGGCTTTACTCGCCCCTTTGAGTTGAGCCAAGACCCGAAACAACAAGGCAAGCTCGAAACATGGATCGAGTACCTCTGCTTCGAGTACTGGTGGCTCGATCTGTTTACGCGTGCCATCGAGCGCCGGCAGCAAAAACGCGACGAGGTGTGGCAGAAGCTCCAAGACACGGGGATGCTGCAGTCATTCGAGACGGCAAAATATATCAAGACTGACAAGTATGATTGGCAACACAAGAACGAAGAGGACATGGCCAGAGAAGCGCTAGAGAGATCGCAACAAAATGCCAAGCGAATCTACATCGAGACTCAGCTAGATCAACGCCGTCTGAGCATCCCCAAGCCGGAACGTATACGGAGGTTGCAACAAGGCAACCGAGAGATGCTGGCTGCCGAGAGCCGGCTGGAGGGGCTCAAGAGGCGGAGTGCTCTTATTAAAGAGTTCAAACCTTTATCAAAATGCTTGAAAGCCGCAAAGAGGGACGTAGCGCGCCATCGCATCCTCCTTCCGTGGATCTTGGACCAGATTCCTTTGATCGAGGCCGAGTTGAGCCGAGGCGAAGCTGCCGGCGGACTCGACGGGACCAGGGCGAGCAAGACGATCAAGAGAAGGCTCGACGACTCTGACGGTGACGACAGCCCACGCCAAACGAGCACCGAAAAGCGGAGGAGGCTCAGTCCACGTCCGAGCAACGGCACGGTCGTCCTTGACAGCGAAATCCAGCAGAAGGAGCCGGTCCCCTCGATAGTCGGCGGCATTGAAGAGACTCTGCCTCCAGAGGAACAGCAGTGCTCACGGACCCGTGCGCCTCCGGCCGGGCACTCGCGTCGAACTCGGGCTGCCCGTGAAGCCGCGTCGCGAGGTTTGCGCCGCAGCCCCCGCATTGCAGCGCGCCTGACGTCGCTCAAACGTCCGGAAGAGTGCTAAGGCCAAGACAACGGGGTGGGTCTGCGCAACCTTTCGGATCACCGTCAGGCGGAGACGATACGAGACGTCATGTTTCCCCGCTTCCGTCTTTACCCAAGTCAGCATTTGCACAATGCCCTCGAACGGCGTCTCGTAGGTCAATCGCTTCTCGGCCGTGATGAGACGCATGCTAACAGAGAAGCGCCGGCTCTCTCTGCTCACGAAATATTTTCAGAGCCGAGTTGAGAGTCGAATCACAGTTCCTCTCCTGCGAGCGGGGCTCTTGTGCTCTGCCGCTGCCAATCTCCCTCGTCGTCCTCCTGTTCGACCGCGACACTCGATAGCTGCCTTCCAAGGCAGTAGGACCATTCTGGATGAGGCCAGGTCCTGCTGCTCGAGTTGGGAATCGGCAAGCCTTCCCACTCCTCTGTGAAGCCGGCCCGAGATGGGATATCGCTCCCACCCACAATCGAGGACCTGTGATGCTGCGAGGATGGGTCCTGGGTAGGGGAAGGAAGCACTTTACCCGAGGATCGGAACGCGCCCGCCTCGGCGCGGCCGCTGTCCAAACGCTTCAGATCTACCATACTAGCCTAGAGAGCAGAGAGTAAGTTTGCAGCATCGGATGCGCTTTGTTGGTCGCCTCCTCGTCCTCGGCGGCCAGCGCGGGCGACCCGCTCTACCGTCAAGTCGTAAACCATCTCCGGGGGTGAAAAAGGCCAGGCAGAAATCGAATGAGCTGCCGCTCCACGGCGAGGATGCCAACTTTGTCGATGAATCTCTTCATAGCGACCTGTACGTCACAAAAGCAACTTCGTGTCAGTACATCGTGTGCGTAGATTATACCGTTGTCACTAGAGCCTTTCCTAGCCTTGGCGAGGGACGCTCGGCTGTTGTCGTTGACCATGGACGAGGCAATGATCCCTTCTAGAACACGCGCGCGCGGCGCTGCGACTGGGCCTTTTGCACCTGTCCGTAAGATGGCAGTTGAGGTGATGGGGGAGCCCGAGATGCCGCCCAGAGTCTTTCCAGGGCGACGAACAAAGGATCGCGAGGGCCGTCCTGCCCACCGCCTCGACGACCGAGGCCGTCGTTTCGGCAGCGATCCTCTTCCCGGGCCGGCACTGCTCACGAACAGGTCCCGGACGATGAGGGGATTGAACTTCCCGAGCTCGCGGCCCCTGCTCCTCTCCATCAGGCTAACCTTGGGCATTAATAACCCTGCTCCTTCGGGATCCTGCTTTGGGTAGGTAGGTAGCAATACTAGAGCTGCAACGTCTATCTTATCACTGCATCAAGCCGAATTGGTTCGCCCAGTACAGTTATTTCTCCACCTCAGCCCATTCTTGCAGCATAGCCTTGGCTTCCTTGTAATCCTCGTTCGACTGGATGCCGTGGATGGCAAAGAGGACGAGACGCCGTGCCAGCCGGTAGGGGGCCCCATACGCCAAGCGAACATAGTCAGGCCCCGCGGCTACCTCAAACTCAGCCTTGAGTTCTCGTCCTTGTACCGTGCCCGGGTCGTCGTTGGCTGTTCTTTCGTCCTCATCCTCGTTGTCCTGCCAAGCCCAAATCCATAGTGGTGGGTAACACGACATGAAGCAAGGCGCAAGCAGAACGGAATCCCAATCCAGGATGCCCGTAATAAGGTTCCGTGATGTCGTATCGACGAGAATGTTGCGGGGAGCGAGGTCAAGATGGGCCAGTGAGTACTGCAGGCCGCCGAACCACCCGCCGGCATCAAGGTCTCGAGTCATCTGGCCAAACTCGCTCCATAAAATCTCGGTGGGATCGTTGGCTTGCTTAACCGAGAACTGGGCCAAAAGCCACTCGCACGGGGACTCCTCCTCGTTGGTTGGCGTTGACAAAGGTGTAATGCGGACTGCGCCGTTCTCGCCCAAAACGAAGCGGCCGCCTGTGCTGCTACGTGTTTCAAGCAGTTGAAAAAAAACGCCGCCAAGTTCACGAGCGATGCGCATTCGTTGGGCATGGTCGAGGGCCGGATAGGAAGAATAAAGATCGGTTCCGGCGATTCGAGTTTGCACCATGTACGGCAGGCCAAGTGCATTGTTCCCCGTTTTGTCAAAGGCGATTACGGCGGGCACCGGGATTGTTGTTGTCCGGCCGAGATAGTAAAGGGCGGCAACTTCGTCGTCGACCCGGGCGCTATCGAAACGGGGAATCCGTAAAATGTAGCGCGTTTCTTCAACAACACCGGGTTGGCGTCGTCGTGTCAAGCCGATGACGCGGTGGAAACCCCCGCCTCCAAGGCGCTCAATCCCGAAATTGCTGGCATTGGAATTGGGCCAAAGCCCGACGGCGAGATGTTGCACACGCGAGGAAAAGGTGGCGAACGGTTCGTGGTCGTACACAACCGAAGAAGAATCCGATTCATCCGAAAAGGAGGGGGAAGCCGACATTCGGGGAAGCGAGAAGCTCTGTTGCGGTTTTTCTGAAATGGTTTTTCTGAAATGGGAGGGGATGCGGGACGTCCAGAGCACCAACTTGGTGTGCACTACGGAGGTAGGAAGGTTAAATAATCTGCAATGGGGAGGTCACTCGTGAACTGGTAAAAGCCGGTGCCACAGAGTGTGGTGGCGAGACTTTGGTGATTGGCGAGGCCATTTGTGGCTCCGAGACGCCTGGTGCCAAAACCCAGTCCGAATAAAATTTCCTAAGCCCACGCAGCAAGTTCGGCTCAATCAACCCCGCTGGGAAACCCCGGTGTCCCATCATGTCATTCGTAATCTACTCGCTCGAGAGCCACATCGAGGAATTCTTCAAGGCTTCAACAACCACGACCAGGGAGGAATGCGACCTCAAGGCGGCTAGTCTCGCCAGTGGCGCACCGGTAGTGCCGGTGCCCATGCAGGGCGCGTGGAGCTACACCGTCACGGCGGGGCCGGACCAGGCACACATTGTGCAGTTCCGCCCCAGCAACGCCACGCTCAACATGTCGCGCCTCGAACTCGCCCGGCAGGCCCACCCGTGGTGTGTTCCCAAATGCACCTACCATGGACAAGCGGGCGGACAGCTTCCCCTCGACATTTATGTCATGGATAAAGCCGCCGGGGAGTGCTACCTCTACTCTAGAAACATTTCGCCCGAGGGAACGGAAGACAAGGCCAGATTTGACGCCCGGCAGCACAGGACGGTGCGCGATCTCGCCAGGTAAGAGTCGGGGAAATGCTGTCCCCGGGCGTGTTTGTAGTTAGTCCGGACCGCTGAATATGATACGGGGGCAGATTTTTCGCAGACTCATGGAACGCGCCGCAAAAGGTCAGCCCCGCTGTGGCCGACGGCGTGCACCAGAAGCTGGAACTTGATCTTGACCGCCTTGACAAGGCTTTCCCCGACCGTTTCTCAATAACGCTGAACCAGGTCCGCGACAGTTTCACGCGGTTATTCAGCCTTCCATGGGTTATTACCCACGTCGACCTGAACGAGACAAATATCCTCGTCGACGACACCGGCGCTATCACGGCCATTATCGACTGGGCAGACGCCGAGATGCTGCCGTTCGGCATGTCGCTGTGGGGGCTGGAGAACATTCTCGGCTATATGGACGGCACAGGGTGGCACTATCACGGCAATGCCCAGGAGCTCCGAGACGAGTTCTGGCGGGTCTTCAAGGCGAGCGTTGGAGGGGTCGGGGAGGAGGCGATGGCGGCCATCCGTATTGCGCGCATGGTTGGCTTGTTCATGCGCTATTGTTTTGCGCTCCATGGTTCAGGGGACAGGACGGTCCTCGACACAAATGCGGCAACGCTTAGGTACGCCGATGCTTTTTGCACCAGAGGCATCTAGGATACGGAAAGACGCGCCTGTGTTAATGCCGACGCCGGGGAGGCCTTCCTGGCCCTGTTCGGGCCCTGTCAGATGTTGCTCGTGTCGCAGCGGGGACGGCGTGTTTGCTTGTGACTGCGCAGAACTGCGCGGGGGCCGGTGCGGCAGCGACGCGCGCCTCCGGGCCTCCGGGCCACGGAGGATGGCGTACGCCACTCTACCGGCTAGGGGCGGCGGCGGCGGCATGGTGCCGTCGCCAGCGCCGTGGGCGGGCGTGGGAGTTGGATTGGATTGCTCAATTGGCGGCTGTTAAGAATTTGTATGTAACTTGGCGGTGTGCAGGAGCGTTCGCGTGGAAAGACCTTGTGGGGCAAGGATGCGATGGGTGCTGCACTCGAGGACGTGCTTGTCCACGTGGTGACGCTCCATTCCTGCGGGCTTTGTCCGTTCCTGCAGTAGCTAGTACGAAATCTCGAAATCTAGACGAATAGAATGCTTCAATATCCCGTGACCGGTCCCGTCGGCAGCACCCCGCGTGCCCGAGGCTATTGAGGCGTCACATTTCCGTCGCCATGTTCGAAAACAATTCCCAGGTGCAACACCCATTGCCGCCTGGGCCGTATGCTCCGGCTGCTATGGCTGGCCATCTTTCCACAAGGGCCCCGGGCCATGGAAAAGGTGTGCACCGTTTTAAAAATCCTCCCTTTCCCACAACTCTGCGCGACAAGGCGAGCGAGTCACCTGACCCACAAGCCTGGCATATCCATTCCATATCTAGCACCCACATTCAGCGACACATCGCTACAAGGACCACACGCCGACGTCCCTCGATCCCAAAACATTCATCATGCTCTCAGACACTGACGGAGCCTTTAGCCAAAATGTCCTTCGCCTTCGCGTCGAGTACCAACGCCGGCGCCAGGCATCCAATCTCTTCCCTCCCGCGGGCCAACCCGTTCTCGACATGCAACTCACCCACGGCAAAACACCAACCATGAGCATTTGGTACCAAGACGGTACCCCGCTCGGCCGCTACGTTCGGCTCTTTGACCTCCCTGGCACCCTTTCCGGCAATATCCTCCGCCTCGACCGCGACCTTCCTTCCCTGCCCGGCCATTTCGAAATCGAGGGCGATATCATCCGGCCCCTGGAAATCTGTCCCAACCCCCCCGACCCTCTTGAAGACGACTCGGAAGACACTACCGACCTGATCAGCCTGCTTCCTGTAATTGACGACGTCGACACTCTCAACAAGCATTTTGTAAAAAAACCAAAATACCGCTCCGAAATCATCAACCTCCTCCGCCTCCAAGGCGGCTCATGCCCCGGCACCCGCTGCTCCCCGCACCTTGTTCACCTCCTCGGCGCTTCCGCAACTGGCGACCTCGTGTTCGAAAAGCTCGCCACCCGTGGCCTTGTTCTTGGGCGCTTTTCGACCCTGGCCACGTACAAGCGCTGGCTGCTGCACCTGCTCGACGCCTTGGCCACGATGCACGCCGCGGGCATCGTGCACCGCGACCTGCGCGTCGACAACCTGCTCTTTGGGGAGGGCGGGGAGACGCTGGTGGTGTGTGACCTGGAGGGGCGATGGGGGCAGAGGGTCGCGCCCGAGGTCGCGTGGGAGGGGAGCCTGGAGGATTCGGGGTGGAGTGAGAAATCCGATGTGTATGATGTGGGCGTGTGTATCAAGGGAATGGTGTATGCGAACGCGCCCATCACCCCACAGGTAGAGTGGCCCGTCCCGGAGCCGCTGCGCCAAGTGGTGGAGGCGTGCATGCAGGAGTTGCCCGAGCCAAGGCCCACGGTGGGGGAGCTGAGAGAGATGGTGGAGGCGATTGAGGTTGTGTAAGAAAGAAGCCTGTATGGGTATCACGTACTCTCCCGCCGCCACGCGTAGATAACCTGCCGGATTCTCGGCTGTGATACACGACGGCAAAGGCTCCACAATGGAGTCGTAGTTGACCGAGAAGAAGAAAACGGTATTCGAAACGCCTTGGGCAATCCTTTTTTCCCTGTAATGTATCCCGACCGACATAACCCGCACCCCAAGTATCATCCTACCTCCTTCAGTCCAAGACCGTCTTTCTGCCTGCCTCACTCGAGCTTCAGCTTCTCAAACTGCTTGATGGTGGCTTTGAACCCATCCGCCTCGCTCTCGAGGTCGACGAGCTTTTTCCAGTCCGACTTTTGCAGCTCGGCCGCGACTTTCTCCATGTACATGGGATCACTGACCAGCTTGCGCTGGCGCTCAACCTGAGCTCCCGTCTTCTCCAGCTTCTTGGTCGCCTTGGCGATTTCGGTATCGATGTCGACGCGGCCCTTGACGTGCAGGAACACGGCCACGCCGGCCGAGACGGGGAAGACGACGCAGCCGGCCGGCCGGCCCGCTTCGCCCTTGATCACCTCGACTGAGGTTACTCCTTTGCCCGAGAGCGACTTGATGGACTGAAGCTCTTCTTGGGCCGTTTTGAGCGAGGTCTCGTTGTACGCCTGGATAAAGACTGTTCGAGGGCAAAAACGAGGGTTTGGTCAGTCGCACTGAATTTTGATGCTATGCTCTGCGCATAAAAGTGATTGCACGATTAAGACATTATCACCTACCTTGTGCCTTATCCTTGAGGGCATATTCGGCCATAAGGGATCGGATGCCTTTGGAGCAGTCGAGCACCAGCTCGTAGGCGGTTTCGGCCGAGGGATTTTCCAGCGCCTCGTCGTACTGCGGGTAGCTGGCGATGACGATGGACCTGGTGGTGTCTCCCTTGCGCCGGGACAAACGCTGCCAGAGCTCCTCGGTGACAAAGGGCATGAAGGGGTGGATCAAGAGAAGGGCGGCTTCGAGAGTAGTGTAAAGAGTTTGCATGACCGACTCCTGCTCCTCCGCCGACCCGTCCTGCAGCAGCGATTTGGAGTTCTCGATAAAGACGTCGCATAGCTGTGCGTACCAGTAAGCGTAAACGAGCTGGCTGGATTTCATAAACTCGCGCTCGGCAAAGGCCTCGTTGATACCCTTCGTTGCCTGGTTCATCTTGTGGAGGATCCAAAGCTCGGCCAACAACTCCTTGCCCCCTAGCGTCCTCTTTTCGCGAAGCACAAGTTCGGGGTCAAGCTTGCCAAGTACGTACTTGGAGGCCTGCCAAATCTTGTTGCAGAAGCGACGGGACGCGTGCATCACCTTGATATCAAAATTGATATCGCCGCCGCCGGTGGTATAATTAATCATGCAGAACCTCAATGCATCAGCACCGCACTCGGGGATGCCTGCGGGAAAGGCCTGCTTTTGGTACTTTGTGGCCTTTTCGATTTCGTTCGGGTTGAGGTTACCGGTAAGCAGCTTGGCATGCAAATCTTCCAGCTTGATGCCGGCGATGACATCGAGAGGATCAATAACATTGCCCAAGGACTTGGACATCTTCCTTCCCTCGTTGTCTCGGACGAGAGAGTGGCAGTACACCTCGTTGAAGGGGACCTGGCCCGTCATTTTGATGCCGAGCATAGCCATGCGAGCGATCCAAAAGAAGAGAATATCCCAGCCCGTTTCGAGAAGGCTGGTTGGATACAGGCGCTGCAAATCATCGGCCGACGTGTTGGGCCACCCGAGCGTGGAGAAAGGCCACAGACCGGCACTGAACCACGTGTCGAGCACGTCCTCGTCACGGACAAGCTTGAACTTCTTGTCGCCGCCAAGCGCCTTTTTGGCCTTTTCCTCGGCTTCTTCTTGGGTGCGACCTGCAAACCAAAGGCTGTTGTCGCCCCGGTCGCCGCCGTCCTCGGCGCCCTCAACCTCGGCAAAGTAAACAGGACACTGGTGACCCCACCAAAGCTGACGGGATATGCACCAGTCGTTGATGGACCCCATCCAGTGGTAGAAGCTTTTCTCGGATGATTGCGGCTTGATCTTGATCCTGCCATCTTTGACGGCCTCGACAGCGTCGGCAGCCATTTCCTTCATACGCACCCACCACTGCGGCTTTAGTAAGGGTTCGATAACGTCCTTGCTCCTTACGCAGATAGGCAGGGTCATAGGGTTGTCCTTTTTGTCAACGTAGAGCCCTGCCTTCTTTAGGTCGTCCTGGATCGCGTAGCGGACGTCAAACCGCTTTTGGCCCTGGTAAGGACCCGCGTTCTCGTTCATCAGGCCGTCGTCGGTTAGGATATTGATAAACCCAAGCTTGTAAATCTGACCCATGGCAAAATCGGTGGGGTCGTGGGCCGGCGTTAGCTTGACGGCACCGGTACCAAACTCCATTTCCACCGACTTATCGGCAAGAATGGGCAGCTTGCGACCCTCGATAAAGGGGTGCACGGCATGCTTGCCGACCAGGTGCTTGTAGCGCTCGTCGTCGGGGTGCACGGCGATTCCTGCGGTAAAAGGAGCGCCTGTCAGTGACGGCAAAGGAGTTATAGGGATCGAGGGAGTAAACTTACCAGTATCTCCGAGCATGGCCTCTATGCGCGTAGTGGCGACGGTAATGTGCTCGTCCGAGCCTTCAAGCGGGTATTTGAAGTAGATAAGGACGCCGAACTCGACCTTTTTGGAGTAGCCAGGAACATCCAGGAGCGTCCTGCCCGAAATCTCCTTGTTGATGACCTCAAGGTTAAATAGGGCCGTACTGAGCTTGGGGCACCAGTTAACGAGCCTATTAGCCCGATAAATGATGCCCTCATTGTGCAGCTTAACAAAGGTCTCGATAACGCCGGCGGTAAGATTCGCATCCATGGTGAAGGCCTCCCTGGACCAGTCGAAGCTCCCGCCCATTTTGCGAAGCGCGTTGTTAATCTTCTGGTGGTACTCCTCCTTCCAAGCCCAGGCAGTTTCAATGAACTTGGTACGACCCAGGTCGTGTCGAGTCTTTTGTTCCCTCCTCCACAGCATGTTCTCCACGACGGACTGCGTGGCAATGCTGGCGTGGTCGCATCCCGGCAGCCAGAGCGTGGTCTTGCCGCGCATCCTGTTCCACCGGATCATTAAATCCTGCAAGCTGTCTCCGAGGGCGTGCCCCATGTGCAGGGATCCGGTCACATTTGGCGGGGGGTGAACAATAACGAAGGAGCCCTCGTCCTTGACCTTGGCGTCCTGGGTGAACTCGGGCTTGAAAAGGCCCTCCTTCTCCCACCACTCGTACCAACCCGACTCGACAGCGATGGGGTTGTAGGCCGTGTAGTGCGGGTCGGTAAAGGGACGAATGCGCTTCTTCTCGCCGGCCAGGGTGTCGTTCTCGTAGGGCGGGAGGGTCGGCTCCTCGGCCTTGGACTTGGCCTTCTTATTCTCTTTGACTTTTTCCGTGGAGCCGCCGGCGGGGACGGCCTCTGCGGCGGCAGCCTTCTTCTGGTTGAACTTGGCCTGCTTCTCGGCCTGCTTCTCGGCCTTCTCCCGCTCCTTCTCCACTGTTACCGGTGTCAGTTGTCATGTCCTACTTTCGGAAGACGGGAGGGGAGCAGCTAGAGGCGTACACTCTTTGGCCGTCTTCACCTTGGCCAGGGCCGGGGCGGCGCCAGCATCCTGGCCGGCGGCATGGGTGCTGGGGTTTCCGGTCGAGGGGATCTCCTGTTTGGTCTCGGCGGCCAACGGGCGAGGAGAGCCGTCGTTGGGGCCCTTCCCAGAGCCGACTGGAGGGAGGGAGAGCAGGTTAGGGAAAGGTCCCGTCGCAGTCCAAAGCAGGGAGGGGAAGGTCCCGTCGCAGTCTAAAGCAGGGAGGGGAAGGACTGCTACTCACCGGGTTTCCGTGGCGGCTGCTGTTGGTGGCCATCATGGCCCGCAGGATGTATCGTCGGCCTGCACTGCTTCTAGGCGACGGGCGCACCAAAAGCGCGCGGAAAACGAGGCGAGACGTGGTGATGGTGAGGGTGGACAGGGCAGAATCATTAGCTGTGTGACGACTTGCTTATAGTAGGGTGGGTTTTGGAATAGCGGGGGTGGGTAGTGCTGGGCTAGCTCTGGTGAGCGGAGCGCATGTACATCACATCAATGATCGATGAGGCTCCCGTCGACAACTCTCAAAGAGGAAAAGGTGAGCTGAGGGGATGAGATGAGATGGAAATATCAGGTTTTGGTAATTGGTCGATATCAAGCAGCTCAACTGGCGTTGCTTATCCTTCAATACGTCTAGTGTCCCAGTGGAGGCGCGGCGTCTGGTACCAGGGACCTTCCCAGGGTGAGCCTTCCCAAGAGACCCTTAGCTAAGCCAAGTGGATGCAGGCTAAGTGTCCATGTCAGTGGTCAATCGCAAAAGTTCAAGCCACGGGGCCTGGCCATTGTCAACTCAACACTCAACAAGCAACAAGGCGTTAACATGTGCACCCCAAATAAGCTCCCTTGCCACGCAGCATACTTTGGCTCCCTTTATTGAGAAATGCCATGATTCCCGACCCCGGACGGGCCAGACTCGTGCTGCCGGCTTTCATCGTCTCACTCCCGGACGCCCGACCGTCGCGTCCAGGGTGCCTGAGCTCAGTCCCGGCTGCCCGCATAGCCTAGGTAGCCCGCCTCGCCCGCCTCGGCCCCCTCCCACAAGAGACGACTGCCGCCAGTCGCCATGGGTCTGACCGCCTTCCTCCTGGCCTACCTGCTGGGCGGCCTCACCCTGATCCCCCTCATCATCGTCGCCATCCTCACCCACGCCCACTTCACGCTCCCGTACCGCCCCGACCTCAATCCACCGAGCGCCGCTGAAGACGGCCAGGGCGACCTTGTCCAGCCCGGCGACGATATCGATGCCCTCCGGGTCGCTCAGCAGCAGCAGCAGAAGAAGCTCGCGAGGGAGGCCTCCCGGGCCCACCAAGAGTCTGATGTCGCGGCCGGCTACTTTGCCGTCTGTCGTGAGTATGCACCCATGGGCATCAATGCAAAGCCCATCGAGCGGTCAACTCCCGTCGGCTCGGCCACGGTGGCGGCACCGAGCCAGAGCGTGTACCAGACCATGTACCGCAGCCTCTTTGACCGCAAGCAGCCCAGCGGGCCTCTGGACAGCAAGAACGCCCCCAGCCAGCGGCCCCGGAAGGCCGGCAACGTCTTTTACGTGGTGCTGAGGCATGGCCACCTCATGCTGTTTGACGACGACGAGCAGCTCGAGGTCCGCCACGTGGTGTCGCTCGCCCACCACGACGTCACCATCTTCTCGGGCGACGACGACGTCCCCACGCCCGAGGGCGAGCTATACATCAAGAAGAACGCCATCTGTCTCAGGCGGCGGGCCAACGAGCCCGATCTGGCAGCAGCAGCAGCGGGCGATGGGCAGCTGTCCAAACCCTTCTTCCTCTTCTCCGAGAACTGCTCTGCCAAAGAGGACTTTTACTTTTCGCTGCTGCGGAACCAGGAGCAGACGTTTGGCGGCGAAGATGGCCCCGAAGCGCCGACACCGAGACAGTTCAATGTCGAGCACGTCATATCGCTGGTGCAGAAGCTGCATTCGTCCGAGGATCACCTACAGACACGGTGGCTCAACGCCATGATTGGCCGGCTCTTTCTCGGCGTCTACGGCACCAAGGACCTCGAGAACGCGATCCGCGAGAAGCTGACCAAGAAGATCTCACGCGTCAAGCGGCCCTCGTTCCTGTCCAACATCTCCATCCGCGGCATCGAGACGGGCGACTCGGCCCCCTACATTACGAACCCACGCCTCAAGGACCTGACGGTCGAGGGCGAGTGCGGCGTCGAGGCCGACGTCAAGTACACGGGCAACTTCCGCATCGAGGTGGCGGCCACGGCCCGCATCGACCTCGGCACGCGCTTCAAGGCCCGCGAGGTCAACCTGGTGCTGGCCGTGGTGCTGCGCAAGCTCGAGGGCCACGTGCTGTTCAAGGTCAAGCCGCCGCCCAGCAACCGCATCTGGTTCTCGTTCCAGACCATGCCCAAGATGGAGACCACGGTCGAGCCCATCATCAGCTCGCGCCAGATAACGTACACTGTCATCCTGCGCCAGATCGAGGCCCGCATCAAGGAGGTGGTGGCCGAGACGCTCGTGCTGCCCTTTTGGGACGACATTCCTTTCTTCAATACGGAGCACAAGCGCTGGCGAGGTGGAGTGTTTGAGGGCGACGACGCCGTCGTCTCGTCGGGCGACCTCGAGGAGTCGCTCAACGCCCAGATGGGCGAGGTGGACGAGACGGAGGAGTCGGCGACGACCGCCTCGGCCGTGCCCGCGCAGGACCTCCCGCCGATGGAGAAGAGCCACAGCATGCCGGTGCTGGAGCAAAGCAGCACAACGCATACGGGCTTGTTCGGGAGGAAAATCAATGGTAAATCTGGTATCCATATTAGCAACCTCAAGGCGGCAATGTCTTCAAGTATCAGCGTCGAGACGAAAGCGTCGGCGGCCTCGTCGCCCATCACTCGGACAAAACCCTCCGGCTCCTTCACAGCGCCGGCGTCGCCCACGGTGGAGATGGACGAGAACAAGGCCGAGGTTCTCAAGCCGTCGTTGTCGTCGTCGTCGCCGCCCAACGAGGGCCCGGTTGTTCAGGCCGTCATGGCCACGCTGTCATCCAAGGTCGTCGTCGGCTCCACTCCGGTCTCCGACAACGCATCACAGTCCTCAATGACACCAAAATTCAAGCTCAAGAAGTCTTCGGGTAGTATACGCAGCACATCTTCCAAAGAGATCTCGGACTCGGATCGAGAGAAAGAGAAAGGTCTGGAGCCGGCACCACGGCCCGACCGCCGCCACACGGTCTCGTCCTCGGGGGGCGGCAAGACGGACGAAGACATGTCGTCGGCCGCGTCCATCAAGGAGTCCATCAGGAACCAGACGGGCACGCTCACGCGCAACTTTTTCCTCCGCCACAAGGTCTCGCACGAGGCCCTCACGGGACGGGAAGGAGGTGACGGCAGCAACGGCGGCAGCAACGCCACCTCGCCTGGCCACGCGCCAATCGACTCGCCCAAACGCAACGCGCTCCTGACCGTGACCAACGCGGCGGCGACTGCGAAGCGCTGGGGCCTCAGCGCGCTCCAACGAGGCGGAGCTGGGGCGGCCGGGAACAACGGCGAAGGCAACAACAACAACCCTGGCGGTCGGGTCGGGGACGGCGAGGAGGAAGAGACGCTGGATCTCAGCAAGCCCATGGGCGGCGGTCAGCCGCTGCCGCCGCCGGGAACGCCACTGCCGATGCCGGAAAAGAAGGGTAAAGTTACCGTCGTAACCAGGCGCCGCCCGCCGGCCGCCCCGCCGGCGCACCCGCACCAGTTGGTGGCAACCGGCGAGGGCGACGGTGGCAACGGCGGCGATGACGCCAGCAGCGGCAGCGGGCAGCAGCAGCAGCGGCAGCGCAGGCCAGGACGGAAGCCCGTGCCCATCGCCTCGCTGTCCAAGCGTCGGCACATGAGGCAGCTGGACTCCCCGATGGGCGGCGACCGGGTGCTCGTGGTGGAGGCGCCGGCGGCCGACTCGGAACCCACGACCCCCAACAACACGGGCGACGGCGACTCTGGGTACATGCACCACCGCCACCACTGGGCCGGCGGCGACGAGTACGACGACGGCGGTGGCCCCCGCACGGGCGGCGCGGGCAGTGCCTACGCGGCCGACGACGATGACGATGACGACGACACGGCGGGCTGCGGCGACGACGACGACGATGGCGCGTCGGCGTGGATGGACAACGACGACGTCCCCGCCCACCCGCCGCGGGCCGTGTTGGTGGTCGGGGACCGGCACGGGATTGCGCGGCCGCCTGTCGCTACCTCGGACCGGGACGCCAAGTAGCCCTCGTGTACCGTTTCTACTTGTTACCACAGCGGAAATTACTGCTAGTTACTGCTTGCGTGTTCTTTTTACTAGAGCGCTAACATTGTTTGGGTTGCGACGGGGAACCGAACCCCGTATGGCATGTACATCATTCTTGGCGCTGGGAGGTTTTGTGTCAATTAACACATGCGCGATAGGTTCGGGCAATAAACCCAACATCCGATAGGAATGCAGAGAATTACAAACAGCCGGATGACCCGGACGCGCCTGTTGCTTGGGGGAGAAGCAGCAACACTAGCGCGCACCCAATTGCCAATTGCGCCGGCACCCATTACCTGCACCATTACCTGCACCATCACCTGCACGCATTACAACCCATCACCGGCAACCCATTACCGGCGGCACACCCCGGCACGCCATTACGTTTCCGTTGCTATGTTCCAAAAAAAATTCCCAAATGCTAATTTTCCACGACCGGCGCTTATTTACCGCTTAGGCGCAATTTACATGCGCTCCGGCTGCTCCGGTTGCTCCGGCTGGCCCCGTGCTGGCCCCGTACTAACCATGTGCACGTACCATCAATCGCTGCCAATTAAACTGGCTACAGCACACACGCGCGCGCGCACAATGCATACCCTTTTTGGCCACAACGCACCCAATTCGGTCCTTAATCCCGAAGCTACGGATGCACGCTGTCCGTTTTTGTGCTTTTGCCCTTGCCCCCCTTTGCCTTTGCCCCCCCCGAAATGTCCACTACCACTCATACAGGGCCGCTCGGCTCGCCTTGTCCAGCCTAATCTCAAGCCTGCTGATGACGGGTTCTGCGATGGAGGTCTCGGTGCGTAGCGTGATGGCCTGCTTGATGCGCGTGTAGAAGACGGGACAGTCCTTGCTGTCGCACTCGACGGGCTCGTGGGCGGACGCCAGGCCGGCGCAGCTGCGGCACACGCCCAGGACGTCTTCGAGACGGCGTCGCTCGTGCTTCACGCGCGCCTGCATGGCAAGCAGCGACGACCGCGCATCGCTTCTGCAGCGTCCACAGACAAGGGGTTCACCCGGCTTCTTTGGCTGGCGCTTGGCAGGCCGTGACTGCTGCTGCTGCTGCTGCTGCTGCTGCTGCTGCTGCTGCTGTGGTGGTTGTTGTTGCTGACGAAAAGCAAAGACGGGAGCAATCCTTGGGGCGGCGGGTATGGAAGGCCGCCGCGACGGCCTCGGCGACGGCCTCGGCGACGGCCTCGGTTGTATATGCACGTTACAGACGGCGCACCTCATGACTTGCATATATGATTCCAACGTGACCTTTTGGGGCCTGTGCCACGCGCCACCAATGGCCGACCCGAAGCCGAAAAGGTGACCAAACGAGGCGCCCGTCACTCCCGCTCCCCCTGCGGGCTCGACGACGATGCGTCGAACTTGCTTTACTTTGGGCACCTCGTCGTACCACGCACGCACCTGGGCACCAACTAAATTAAAAATGCGCTCTAGCGGCGGGATCAGGTTCTTGGAAATGTAGTACTCGGCGTCGAGACGCAGGTGCGTGCCGGCGGGCGATACCAGATCCTCGGGAGGCACGCAGCGGTCGGCGAGCCGGGCGCCCGGGGCACCCGCAACGACGACGTAGGGGACGCGCTCGCCGTACTGCGGTTCGGCGCGGGCGTCCTTTAGCATCCTCTTGGTGCTGATCAGGGCGCCTGGGGGCGGAGGGCCAGTGCCGCGGCGGGTGCTGTAGGTGCCCAGCTTGACCTCCTTGGCAAAGCAAAAGTCCTGAATGGAGACGTTGCCGCGCATGATCTTGTCGCACTGGCGTTGGAAGTAGGCCTTGACGCGGCTCAGGTCTGCCGTCTCAAAGAGCAAGCGCAGCGCCTTCTCTTCAATCTTTTGCTCGGCGGGCGTGCCGTCGCGGCGGACCGTCTCGATTCCCTTGGCGTCAAAGTCGGGCGCAAGCTGAGACACGCTCTCGTATTTGTAGCCGACATAGCGCTTTTTGGCCAGAAGCACGCACGGCAGGTATACCTTTTCGAACTTGAGCTTGACAGGCCGCGGGTTCATGTCGGTGATGGCCTTGGCCATCTCGTTTCCAATCTCGAACGCCTGCTCCTTGGTGCGGCCCCTGAGGTGGATGAAGATGCTGTCGGTATCGCCGTAGACAACCTCGGCGCCCCAGCGCTGGACCGAGTGGATAAAGGTGATGGCGCGCTCGAGCGTCTCACGGCCCGTCTGCACGATGCTGTCGGCAATCTCGGAGCAGGGCAGTCGGCCCGAGAAAGAGGCCGAGGTATAGCCGTAGGTGACGTTGGCGAGCAGCTTGAGCGCAAGCTGGCGGTTGTTGAGCAGGCGCTGCAGGGCGCGGTCCTCCTTGTCCTGGCGCATTCCACTTTTGACCATCACCCTCGTCTCGAGAATCTCGGTCAGCATCTTGGCGAGCAGCGATTTGCGGATGGTGGCCTTGGTGTACATGACGCCGTTGGGGGCGATGTTGATATGATCCTGCAGCAGCTCCAGCAAGCGGCGGCGGCGGCGGTAGTTGGCAAAGCCCATCTTGTTGGCGCCGCGCCAGTCGACGATGCGGCCGAGGAAGGTCGAGTAGCAATAGTTGTAGGCGATCATGACGCTGGGGTACAGACTCTGAAAGTCAAGCACGACGACGGGGCTGGTGTAAAAGGCGCTCTGCGGCTCCATGACGAGCGGCAGGCATTCGAGCGCGTTCTGGGCGCCGACCTGCTGACGACTGGGCGACGGCAGCAGGAAGCTCTCGGGCTTGGCGATGCGGAACATGATGGACTCGACCTTGAACTGCGAGCCGCGCGAGAAGACGGAGAAGAAGTCGACGCCCAGCAGGCGCGCCTGCTCGCTGGTGCGCGACACGAGCTCGTTCTCGTCGAGTATCTCGAGGTCGAGGCGCACTCGGGTCTGCCAGTAGCGCACCAGCTTGTCGAGGTCGCGGTGCCAGCCGTTGCGGTACCAGTCCGTCAGCGTCTCATACGCGTAGTGCGGTATGCGGCGGTGCAGCAGGTGCCACACCACGTTCTCCATGCTGTACTGTTGGAGGCTTAGCTCACCGCGCATCGCACGCCAGATGTTGATCATGTGGCGGCCCGTCACGCGCAGGGCCGACGTCGTGCGGAACCCCCAGCGGTCCGCCCCCTTAGCGTACCGCCCGTGCGACGACTGGCTCTTCATGCGTGAGAACTCATCGCACAGGTCGTAGTCGTACTTGAGCCGGGCCCGCTCTACCAGGTAGCCCCATGAGCCACCATGCACTTCGTATCCCGTGAGAATGTCGGGGTCGTGCGTCCGCACAAGCTCCACCATGCGCAACATCAATTCCAGCTCCGAGGCCTCCTCGACGAGCTGCCCGGACACCTGATGCCGCATCCGCCGCCCCAACCTGCCGTCTTCAGACAGCACGATGACCCCCGATTGCACCCCGCCAGAGGCTCCGTCTGACTTGAGGCACCAGAAAATTAGCTTGACCTCGTCCTCTTCTGGGTCCGGCACCAGTCTCTCGCGCGTGTTGACGTGGAGCTCCATGCTCATGGTGCTCATGTACTGCACCTCGTGCTGCACGCTGGCCGACTTTTTCCTTTGAGAGTACTTGAACCCGTGCCCATCTCTCGGCGTCGGCCCTTCGATTTGGGACAAAGGGGGCTGTGGCTGTGGCTGGGCATGTCCGGACGCGCCCGCTTTCCTCTCCCTGTCTAGTCTCTGGTCCCTCTGGTCACACCACTCCGACACCTCCTCCAGGGTCGGAGGCGGCTTGGATATTTCCCAGCTTCTTATCGAGCACGTCTTCCGAAGCCTCTCGTACTCGCGTTGCATCCCCGCCTGGTCTGGCGCCTCTTCGGCCTTGGCACCAAATGTAGCCGGCGATTGGCCTAGGGGATCAAACTCGGGCAGATATGGCAACGTGCTCCCAAGGAGGCGGAACCGGCGCCCAGCAAACTCCCTTGACCGGAGTGGCACATCTCCCTCATCACTGTAGAAGGGCTCTTGGTAGATGACATCAGGTAAGCCATACTCTGACATGGACTCGCACACCTCGGCTGCCGTCGGCGGCAGCGAGCGCAAGGTATATACCCTTGGCGTTCTGTTTGATTCGGCAGCTGATATCTCATAATCGGGCGCGGAACCAGCATTGTCTCCCAGCAAGCACGGCACAGTTTGTCCAACGGTGGAAGACGTCTTCATGGACTGTGAGTTGAGGCCGCCCGATGACGATGACCAGGAGTAATCTGATGCCGGCGGACAAGGACCCGGGAGAACACCATCGCCCAACACATACAGATCACCGGATGACGCAGTGCTTTCATGGCTATGACGCGGTACCGCCTGGTCCCCAGACATCCAGTGCGAGACGCCGTCTTGAAGGGCTGGCTCTCGCGGTTGAGATGATGGGGGCGGGGTCCAATCGTCGACGGATGGTGGCTGCGCGGAGGGCGGCGTCCAGTCGTCGATGGATGGTGGCTGCGCGGAGGGTGGCTGCGCGGAGGGTGGCTGCGCGGAGGGTGGCTGCGCGGAGGGTGGCGTCCAATCGTCGACGGGTGGTGACTGCGCAGAGGATGGCGTCCAATCGTCTACGGGTGGTGGCTGCGCGGAGGGCGGCGTCCAATCGTCTACGGGTGGTGGCTGCGCGGAGGGCGGCGTCCAATCGTCTACGGGTGGTGGCTGCGCGGAGGTCCAATCGTCGACGGGTGGTGACTG